TGTTGAGAGGAATGAAGCGAGCCCTCGATATACGATTGCCTTAGGTAAATATATACGAATGTGCTTACTCCTTTATCACTAAGATGTGTGTCTCTAAATCGATTGTAACAGTTTTTACATACAAGTACTTGTACAACTCGTACGTATTGTATAGATTGTAAATTCGGAAGTTCACTTCGATATCTGTTACAGTTTGTAAGCAATTGCAGATAATATTATATCAAGATGTTCGGCTGCATTCGACATTGAATTGGTTTGTTAGTCTATTATGGGTGCGTTTGTTGATTTCTTTCTTGCTCTCTCTCACTCATATGTAAAGTTTAAATTTTAAAGAGAATGAGAAATTTAAAAACACATACGCCTGGGGGGGGCGGGACAGACGGGCTTTGATAAATCGATCACAATCTTCACACCGTGCTCATCGCAAAGGCTTCTGATGACAAAGCAAATGCACGGAAATTACAATCTTACGATCCTGTGCTGTGTGGAAGAAACTCTTCTGCCAATAAAATACCGAATAAATGTTAATGGAAAACTTGATATGTCATTTTTTACAGATTTATTGTATTCGATCTAACTTCTGCAGCTACGTCTTAAGTCGGGTTAGTAAATTCCTTTTACGTTACGTTACGTCTTTTAGTAAAGCAGCGGAATTTGCAATTTGTCTTCCAATAAGTTGTATCCTAAGTTGTGTCCATATTCTCAAGCGATTCTTCAAGCGCTTTCATCGCAAGAGAAATAGCGAATCTTCCATCCCACCTTGTCGACATTCAATTATGGTATATGAGCAGTAATTTTGATAGACTTTTTTTTTATAATAAAAACACGTTGCTTCATGCTTAATGTTTCTCGGAAATTATTCGGTACTGTGAGTGACGAATGGACTCTTGACGTCTGTACGAAGAAGAGACAAGATTTTTGTGGTAGTCTTAGCCCTAATGCTCATCTCACTTAAATTATGGAATTTATTTTTTGAGATAAATAAATTATAGAAATAAAAATAATAAAATTTCTATACAATAAAATTATTTTTTAAATAAAAAATTATAAAATATAATTATTACTATCGTCATATGGATTTTATAAGTGATCTTTTTCGATTCTGTAACTTTTTGCAATGTTCAGAAGCGGTCTGGCTAATGTATGTAGGTTTGCTTATTAATTTGTCCGTCTGTCGCTCTCGTTGCTGAGATGCTTGCGTTTGTATATAAATATATCTTTGGTAGCCGCGAGGGCGATTTTCGAAGTGTCCCTCGCTTGCTATACATTTTCCGAATCCTTCTGTTAGAATCTGAACTTTAGATCGAAAAGAAAACTGGACGTTTGAGGCTACCTAGGTAAGCATCGACTTTTCTGGGTATTCTGAGTAGAATAGAAGCATTGTTTAATAATTATAAGGCGGAATATTTGCCGGATTCAGTTCGGATGGTAGCGCACTGCAATTCAACACTTCTTTCAGGATTTCTTGAAAGAATTTTGCAATATGAGACCGAGCAGCATTATTGCGGACAATCAATCTATGACGGATACGGTAAGGTAACAGTTTTTTTTTATTCATTTGTATCTTTTGCTTCTTGTTAGTGCTCTTGAGCGATATTTTCGTTTGGTTTAAGCGGCTTATAAGTGAATGCGCCCCTCCAGTGTCAAGAATGGGAACGTCAATGGTATTCGAATTTACCGTCAATGTTAATGATTCCCTAGCGCTGAATAATGCGTTTCATTCTTCTAAAATTGTATCCTGTTCATTTTGCATTATTTTCATTTTGTACGACTTAAGCAGGAAAAGATAGTGTAGTTCAAGTTGCTGACTTGCCATGTCGCGTAATGCTTGAAAATAGTACCTTCACAAGAAGGAATCGCAGTTTGGCAAGTGTTCAAGTAATACGCCGGTATATATTTACCAAGCATTAGGCTTGTACATATTTAAAAAATTTTAAAATGGAAGTTTGGAGAAGGAAAAAATATATTTGTTTTCCTGAACCGACGGATCGAAAACTTTAATTTAGCTTAGTGACTTCAACTAGAAATCACTCGAGATAATGGTAAATCCAAATAGTTAACTGGACACTGTTGTTCACTCGTCATTTTTGAAGTAAATTTTAATTCTTTACACGCCTAATACCGGTTTCGAGTTATCCTGGGGGTGTTCTGCTCCAAGGATGAACGCTATTGAAAGTGAATGAGATCTGACCACTATTGCTTCCTCTTTCCATTACAAAAAGTCGTTTTATGGAAAATGCATCGCAGCTTTTAAAGGTTTTCAACATAAATTGTTATGTGTAAGTATTTTGCCATACAAAATTAATGTGCAAATTTTGGAACGGATGATTGAATTCAATTCTGGTTTTGTCCAACTACAATGTTTTTTCTTGTCTTGTGTAACAGTTGGGTAAGGGACTGTTCTTTGTATAAATAGAGATGGCTGTGGTTAGAGAGAATTGTAGCTAAGGCAAGGATGGAAGCTGGGGCGAACGTAACATACGAAGGAATATGATCGGTATAGTGTCGTTTGCAGTTTGTGAGGTACTCCTACTTATACCTTAGCTCCATTAGTGATTATTATTATTATTTTCTCTCGTTTCCTTATAAATGAGAGATGAGTATAAAAAATTCGATTTCAGTCCAATATAAGTTCTTCTCTTTGCATTTCACTTTGTTGGTCCTAGTTTAATTTTAACTGCTCTGCCAATGTTCGCATACATAGTCGATTGCGTGTAAATATTGTAGCTACGGCCAACATATTCAAATAAAAAAAAAAAAAAAAATAAATAAATAAACGAAAAAAGAGACGAGAGATAAAGTGGGAAGAAGTGAAACTGAAGAGTCATTTTATTAAATTTTTTTTTTTTTTTTTTTTTAATTGAAGCGAAAATCCATTTTATAGTCGAAACTCTTTTATTTTATTATATATCTTTGTTTGTTTTTTAAAACATTTTTTTAAGATTAAATGCCTGTTAAATGTTAAAACATGTATGTCCTTCTTAATGTTGTTGCCACTCACGTGCACACAAACGCACAGCTATTACCATTGCACAGAAAATGCTACTCGAATGCAAGCAACAATAGCAGGCTGATCGCGACTGAACGTAGTTATTACTTTTGCATTTTTAGGTTATACTTTAAACATTGAACTGCGCTTAGAGACACAAAAACTAAATTGCTTTCACGCGGCTTTCGTCTAAGTGTTTCAATATTTGGAGACATTTTTTCCGATTTTATTTGCAAGAGATAAGTCCTCTAACATTTCTGTCGCCATAAACAACGTTTCGGAATACGTTGCCTTGGCCTACCCATGAGTTTAAGCCTACGAAAATCGTTTGTCATTGGCTTGGCAAGACTTTATGGGAGTGAATAGGACTAATGTTGATTGACGCCATAAATAGGAGAACATGTGCAACCCTTCCGACGGCTACAATGCGACGATATAAAGTCCAATCTAGGCAGAAACTGAAATCTTAACTAAATTAAGAATCGGAAGAGACCTGCAAGGAGTAGAAGATGCGAAGCGATTTCGGGAGAGTTCATTTCCAAATCCTATGTAAATACATAAACAATATATGTATATATAAATCCATTTCCACTTTCAACGTTCTGCTCTATTTGACTTGCATGTGAAAAGTGCTATGTGCTATGTGTATTTGTATAACTAGCATTGCTATTTGCTTACATTTGCGTAAAATATAAATGTTTTACTTGGATACCCGTACGTATCAATGTTGTTGCCGATGTTTTTCTATGATGCACGTAAACGTATTCTTAAATGGATGACAATGTGCTTGCGTGCAATATGACAAATCAAGCACCAGAATTTTGGATATGCTTCCATTAAAAGCGTTGTAAAAGGTGTTATGTTCTTTCCAATTGCTCTCCCATCTAAAGACTTTTACGCTCAGATTGTCAAGTTCTTCTTTATTTTACTTTCTCTGTGTATATGTCAGTGCATCTTTGTGATGTGATTGATATTATCGAAAGCATTATAAGCTCATATTATTAGAAAATGTATTTGCAGTTTTCGAAGAAACACATTCATCATATATGGAGCACCTAAGTTGGAAAATTTGTTCACAATAAAGATGTTCCTACATTTAAGTGAATCATTCAGAAATAATTGATTTTTTTGTTCAAAATACTAATAAGGAAAGTAGAGACTTTGCGTACAAATTGCTTTAACGGGATTTGAGTTTGCGAACTGTTGAACGGTACCGCAAGTTTGTTTAACCTTTTCAAATACTTTCTGATACAAAAGAGCAAGGAGGTTCGATTCTTTACCTGTCTTTCCCATAAAATAATAAAAAAATCATAATATATCTTAGTGTCACACTTTGTAGGAGGGACTGGGCCAATAAGCCCTTAATTCGCCGAATTACAGGAAAAAGTTGAATGCATACCGATTACCTGCACCTGCACTAGTTGCTATTAAGCAGTGCTTACTAGACTTCATTATACGTTTAACGATGTTTACCTATTTGGTACGTTTAAAATTATTCACCTAAGTATGGTGTCGTTCGTCACCCTTGTCAACTACAATAACGAAAGCTAAAACATAGCTTGGGAATATATATGTAACTAAGAACTCAAAAAGTCATATCACACGTAAGCTGCACTGCAAGACAATCGAAGTGTTGTTCGCAAGTGACAGAGTAGTGAAAGAAAACAAAACAAAAGTCGTACTGATCTATGCAAGAGAGAGAAGGACGGAAAGAGGCTAAAGACTACAATTGAATATATCAAATATATATAATGTTGACATATGTAGCTGACCGTTAGATATAGGGAATATATAGTAAGTGATCGGCGCATTGGTGAAATGAGGAAGACATTCAAATAATTCATATAATTCAATTACCAAAAACTTCTTCTCGGCTTGATTTTTTTAAATTTAAGAAAATATATAGGTCCTCTAAGATGAAGCGTCATCGACCAGATATAATTCAAATTATGTACACATATATATGCATGGGTGGCATATGATATATATGATGAAAATGTAATCCACTTACCTATTGTACATAAGAACATCCGGCTTCCATAAGCGATGAGGCGGTATGCGTAAATCTCTAACGCCACCGTAATCACTAGCATTCCAACGTAGATTCATATCGTTCCATTCCTGTAAGAAGAGCCAACAACAACAAAACAAAATATTGAGATTTATTTAATTAAATCTTAACGTTTGAGGTAAAATTACGCTTAAAGTCACATACGTTCGTACAAATAGACCCAAATCGCTACTGCTAACGGCTGCCTATATAGTTACTGCAATTAACGTTACAACCCTATCAGAGTGTTCTAATAAATAGTACAAGGAGAAAATATTAGCCGTTTTAGCCATTCTTCACATACGATTCTAATATATGAAGGAGAAATAAATAAATAAATGCACTCGGCTTCTATTTAGGATTTCAATATACTTCGCTTGTTTTTGGATTTTAAAAAGGAAGAAATCTCATTATTATAATTAACGTTATTAAAAGGAATTAAAACTGTCTCGACATTTCAGTTATCATTTAACGTTTAATTTCCTCGTTACTGCTTTGCTTTATATATTCATCTACTATTCTCATCAATTTATGTCGTTTTAATTAAAATGTCAACATCATACCGCAAGCTTTTCCCATATATTTTTCTCTTTTCTTCTTCTTTGATGAGGGAAAATAAAATTCATAATAATAATTGACTTAACTGCCATAGCCTGCTTTTCATTCAACGCACGCCTCATTAAGTGTTGATTGTAAAAATAAAAAGAAAATTTACAAGTAAAATAAATTAAAAACGTTCAATTGGGCTTAATTTCTTTCACGGGTTTCACATTTGTTCACAAACCAAATAGAAATCAAAACGAAACATGAAAAGTTCAACAGCCCAAATGAAAGCATAAACTTGACAACATAATTGCAAAAAAAGCAAAAAAAAAAACAAAAAACACCCAATTAATGCAGTCACTTTTAAATATTTTTTCAGTTATTACGTTCATAGTTAAGAGAGTTTTGCACTTAAACACCTCACGACTTGTGAAAAATACAACTAATTATCAGAAAATGACATCTTTGATAATAATTCTCTTCGCTTTCATATCACTCACTATAGGACTGGGGTCGGCAATCTTTTCTTTTTTTTTTTGGTTCTGCGGATTAAAGCATTTAGGTGATATGAAAGAACTTTGAATACATTGCCATTGTGCTCTAATAGGAAGCACACCAAACGCAAAGAGAACGCAACAGTCTAACTTATCCTGCTGAAATGTAAGCAATTCTGGTGAGCTCCTTAAGGGGAATTCTTCTTCGAATTTTATTCCAGGCAAACACCATTCAACGACAGCATGAATTTTTCTGCTCAATACGAAGGCAGGAAATACCACTGAGTCATGATAATTGACAGTCGTTGATCGACAGAGTAAGCGATGAATTAACATCGATGGCGACGGACATAGGTGGCGGCCTCTTTTATTATGGGTTCCTCCAGGCAGCAATCATTGGAGGATATCACCAAGAACTATTAATGTAATTAACCTTAAAAATCATGACATTGTTATTTCGTATACTTTGCTGACGTCCCATATTGAAACGTCGGTAGGGCTGAATTAGAGGGCATTACCATCCGGCCTGCATTCATCAACAATACATAAATTCTTGAGAAACGCGATTTGTGAAATTCACTTAACGATGTCGACCTCGTCCTTTTTAGTGGCTTTGTGTAAACTTTTTGAAGCTATAAACTTGATTTGTGTCTTTTCGTTTTCTGTTTAGTTCAAAACGTATTGATCCGTTGATACTTTGGACCAAAATTACCAAAAAATATCTGTAAATATTTCCTTTTTTGCGTAATTGCTTCATTCATGTACATGGTCTATGGGCATATAACCTTGCGGGTATATTACCGCATGTAGTAAAATCAGGGAAGAATTTACGACGCTTCCGATAACACTGATATGTAGATTACCGTGAAATTATTGCAAAAATTGAAAGTTAACTTAATCGGATAATAGTTTTGCCCGCCTAGTAGTGGTCGAGCTTTATTCATCACATGATCAATATGTGAATTGAAACGAAGTCTATGGTCGAATGAAACAGAAAGATCCCGGAAAGCATTTATATTTTCCAATTTGTAAAAGTCAATAAAGTATCGTATTTTATTAAGTTTCTATTTGCAGTACATTTGTCGATTATGCCGCGTTAAGTATACCACATTTGTTGTACCTTCTGTCAAGCGTGCATGCTTCCGTTATGTTTCACATATGATAGTTTATAATCGAAGCTTAAATGTAACAATATTTCTGCAGATTATGGTGTGTGTTTTCCTTAAGCTATGCAACGCATAAACTGGACGGCTGGATCCGCGATGCTTTCTGATGTTCTCTTTTGGATGTCCTTTGACGTTTGGAAATGTCCACAAACGTACAATTTTTCATATAAGGACTTTTCAACCGAGGAGTTTATATGGAATGTGGCCGAAAAAGTGACAAGTTTACGCCAGAAAATGAGAAAATGATTCTCGTATGATAAAAGGTGTGTCTGTCTCAAGTGCGTCCGGACGTTGCTATGGGAAAAAGATCGAAGCACGCTTCACAACAATCATCGCGACGACAGTAGATCTTGATGAAGAGAATAGTAGCAAAGCGGACTGTGTTAGCTGTAGTGGCGGTTGACGTTTGAAGCAAGATTTAAAGCAAATATTTTGTAATTTTTTTTTATTCGCTGAAAAATCCTTTCTTTCATGGGCGCGGTGTGCAATAAAATGTCGTGAATGTTTATCAATTTACTTTAATTTATTCAATTGAAAATCACAATTGAGTAACAGATTCGATAAGCGCTTTATGCCTTGAACCGAAAACGTATTACATTGCGTTAAACTTCTTTAAAACTAAAATATTATCGAATAATAAATCAATTTGTTATGCGCTATGGATACCTACTATAGGTTAGATTTATCAACTCGTAGGTTCATTATGAGCCTGATAATCATTTGAATGACGCTTGGATAAATATTACATAAAACGAAGTTGTTATATGCCATACATGCGCCATTATATTGGACATATGCCTTAGCATCTTTTAAATCAAACTTACGTCAATTTCAGGAATTAAATTATGTCAAATTTGAATGAGAGTTATGTTACTCTCGAATACAACTGCCCTGGGCAACAATTATGTAAACTTATAAGCTTATGCGAACTTATAAATGACTTAACGATATTGTCAAATATGTATAGGATACTGTTGCATATAAGCATATGAATCGTTGTGACGTTCGCTGAATGCATACAGTTTTATGCACACTACATGATATACCATACATTAAGTTTGCATATATGTTTCGATTATAGGCTTTGAAGACCGCACCGATCAGGGCAGTCGATTAAGATGTGTTTTCGCTTTGGTTCGAATGGACGACTTCTTTTAAAAGTTCGCATGTCGAAAAATGAACCGGGAAAATTAGTTAACCGTCACATTTGAGCAAGGCGTAGTCATCTACCGAATTCATTCAACATTTTGCATGTATGAAGTTATATGGGTTTGAGAAGCCGAGGGTAAGTCTGGGAACCAACAAAATGGTGGTTGGGAGAGAGCATGACGCCTATTATGTTAATATCATATAATCCAATGTGAAATGTAAAAGTTAGATTTTAGAGGGACCACGTATGCCGGTTCTGATGGCCTTAGATAGAGTTTCGTCGTTTCTATTATATATATGTTCTAAATCCACCGAACGGTAACAAAAATACTAAAAATGGTTTTTGAACGGTAATCGGGAGCTTGATTGAACAGAAGATATGGGCCTTAGGTAAGCCTCGCCTTGACCACAAGAAATAGTTACATTGTACGTTGTACTACGTCCTAATGTGTTACAAATCTGGGATCTCAGGCGCTAATCAGCCTTTGAAAACTGGAAGAATGCATCGATGGCCTCTTAGCTCGTGTCATTGGGCCTCGTATTTTTACGTACAGGTGAAAAACTTATTAGTTAAGGTGATGTCATAGTTAACAACGCTCAGAATTAACTAATCTGCAACCGTATTCAATGTCATGGGAAGTAAGGGGCGAGGTTAGCAGCTGTGGCACAGCTCCGACATATAAAGAACAGTTTGGATGCTACTTGTTTTTTGAGTGTGGAGTAAAGTCTATTCGCGTTTGGCATCGCAATAACATACCCCGTTCTTTCACTAAGTTTTATATAAATTAAAAGCATACAACAAAGTTGCAATGTTTTGCAGAAGTCATTATTCAACTGGTATGGTAGGCCGCCTCTTTAATAAATTGGAATTTTTTAATAATATATCTGATATATGTACGATATTAATAAAGAATATAAGCAATATTCGTTCGAAAGAAAAAATAATTGTAATGAGGTATCCTGTAACGCTTTATGAGTACCTGACTTAAAGTTATGAAATTTTATTAATTTCTTTTTCTTACCAATTTAGAATTCAAAGTAAACTGTTTGACTGTGTGCAACTAGGCTAAGGCAAATTGTTTAAAAGCTGTTTATATTATTGTTTTCCTTTCATCATAACTTGCCTTTAAGCTAAGCAATTATTTTTGGAAAGCTCATGTGCAAGGAAATGTAAAAAGCATTGTATTTATTCTCCACTACAGGGGTTGGGAAAATTTATTTTGTAACCTTATGATAAATTATGGTCAAATTTGTTGAAAATGTGCGGCCAATTCCTAAGGCTGTTTATCTTGTGCTCTGTGCTTGCTGTCTCTTTATTTCTTTTCTGGTTCGATATAATTTTAAGATTTTTTCTTCTCTTAAAGGCGATCCAATGCTTTATAGCAGGAAATTAAAACGCAAAAAAAAAAAAAAAAAAATAAAAATAAAAAATAAGAAAAAGAAAAATAAAAGAGTCTTTCGGCCTGAGCCGAATATCTTCATACTTTCTAAATCGATTGTTTTTTTTTTTTTTTTTGATTCAAAAATCAAAATTATATCTTACGTTTGTTTAATCAATACTCTCTCATGATGTCTTCAACTGCGTATGTAACAGCTCTGGTATATAAGAGTATAATGCCAGCACATAATATTATGGGTAGATGGGACGTTGACTCTTAGTGCAAAATGTGGCCATAGGATATTGAATTAACGTTATGCTACTAAAAATACCTCTAGATTTTTCTGTCGAATCCATAGATCGATTCAGTCAACTTTCGAACTAAAAGAAACCCAATACAACTGTTTGTGAGTTCAGATTTAAGAACACAATCGTGATACCAGCACACAAATAAAGGAAACCATTTTTCTGCTTAGCCTGATTAAGGACATTTTTGGACTATTTTATATGGGTGTTCTATATTTGTTGCCCTTTAAATCGTTGGCTTAATTTGCTTTAATTTGAAAGCGGCATTCCCGAATTTCGGAAACTTTGCATTTTGTATGAAACTTTCTACGTTCATAAGTGTCAATTTAGTGTTACTATGTGCTGCCTACTTCTGCGGGGTGGGGGAGAGTAATATCGATCATATGTGCACGTGTTATATATTTACCAACTGAGTACTTTATGTCTTCTTTTTTTTTCAATAACACTGCGCATTGCAATAACAACGAAAACAAAGTCGTTTTATATGCGAGAAAAGCGAATCCGCTGCATTAGCATCAGCACAGCGAGTGTACATACTTGCCCTAGATGGCAGAAGACTTAATATATTCTCCATTTTTTGCTTACGTTAAAATTTTAAATATCAATATGCTTGGGCTTCAGTTTGCGAACGAGAATAAAATGAATTTTTTCCTTTTATGCGGTTTGCCAAATAACTTTAGGCTATACTTGAGAAATACGCAATTATTTCGAGATGATTTATTATAAAAATAATTTTCATTCTTTGTTATCACTTACCAATTTCAGCCAAATATTTGTTATAAGCAATTGATTTTTTTCATCCTGAAAATAAAAAAAAAAAGATATAAAGCCAAACTGTGAGACCGCAATCTTTAAAAATTGATTACTATAAGTACACGTAGATTTTAACTGAGAGATATATAGTTTGCGTTAGTATTCTAAATTTCAAAATTTATATTCACCTATTGAATTTTTATATTCGTCTCAACTTGTTTTATAAAGTTTACAGAGTATATATAATTCCCCACTTATTCACTTTTTTTTCGATATGTTCGCATTTTATTTTCCACTTCCATATCATAGCGAAGGGATTCGAGTAAATTGAGAAAAAAGCGTTTTATCAAAATGTTTTTAGAATTCCACCTCCCTGATAATATTATGAACGGGTTTCTTATATGGGGCAACATTGACTCTGAAGGATTTCCGATTTCCCCGTAGAAAAAATACTTTACTCGTTTGCTTATTGCCCAAAAAAAAAAAAAACAATAGATAGATAGATGTTTTTCTCTCCATCAAGCTTACAGGTTGGCTATAAGGCTTCATTTACATCTGCTCGAATATCTTTTGTTGCTGGCACATTAATGTTACATCTGTAGCGTATAGCTGCTAAATTTTAAATTTCTCTAGCTCGCGTCGATCGTGGATATTTACTTTCCTTCAATCGAAGAATCCTAGGCGGCATCCCATTCCTTAATTTGCATAATTACTTTAGTGCATTTTCTTCGAACTAATTAAAGTGATCAAAAAATCAGACCAAACGTCAATGTGTGCAATATTTTAAAATGTATTCTACTACAGATCTGTTATCATGTTATGTTATTGCAAGTTTTCAAATTCTTGTGGCAGTTACTGCTTATAATAACGGCTTATTAAATAGTTATCAAACAGCTATTAAATAGAGTGCAATCAGTGGCATATATTATTTTTCACAACTATGTTAACCGTTGGTGGAAGCGTGCATTTTATTATCTCCCAAAACACATGCATTTAAACTGCATAGCTGATTAAATATTCCCTTTTCGAGCTAAAAATATAACATCGAGCACATCGCATACACATTTAACTTCATTGGTTTCCGGTGTGGAAAAAGTTGTGCGTTGTCTCGTGCACAAATGCGCACTTATTCACTTTTCATATTTCAAAGGTCGTTTATTATTTAAGCTATGATAGGTACACAACACTACGCGGTGAAAATTGTTCTCAATAATGGTTTGCAAAAAAAAAAAAAAAGAAGGAAAATTTAATTTGACAACGACCACTAAAAATTTTATTGACCCTATTATTTTGATGAGCTTCGGAGATTCAATAAACTATTTATATACTCTTGAAGCGCGGAAGTATGTTCGTCTGTTTGGTGAAAGCACTGTAACACACATAAGAGCTTTGAGTAAAGACGCGGAGAGAGGCAATTACAAACGATTACTTTGGATTGCACGGTGGTCATTGGCAGGCCGACCATCGATATGTTTACACAAGAAAAATATTAAATTCATAAAAGAGAGATTATGTTCAGTAAAAATCGATCTATAAGCTTTCTTCATCTTTTTTTTGCATTCACATAAATATTATATTCGTATGTATAAAGAAAATAAGAATGTTTATAAATATGCATAAAAAAGGAGCAGACAGGGTCCGGCTTATAGTTCACTTCACTTACACTGACTTCAAGTCGCAAGTATTTCATCTTCAGACAGAAATTCCACTGTCATTTTTCCTAGCGCCAACGAAAACGACAGATGAGAATACTTATGCATTGAGTCTCGATAAGACACTACATAAGTGGCTGGATAGGGGCGAGGCATTTATTTGCTTTAATTTAAAGTCTGCTTACTTCAATTTATCCTTTCTTTTGGTGATTTTAACTTTTCTGTGCTTCCCATTCAACATTTTTCTTGCAACAGAATACCTCTCTACTAGAAATGATCTTAACTATTAATAAAAGTTAGATCTTAATTGCCTGCAAGGTGCTGACAATTTACATCAGTTATAATTGTCCTGACAAACGAAAACCTGAAGATATGAGGCGAAAATCCGAATTGTTGGCAATGGTGATGAAATTAATGCACATATATCGAATGATTGCGAAAAATATTGCCTCTGTACATTCAGTAGAAAGAGGAGAACTATGTTGATGTTGTGAAAACTTTGCTCTCATCAATAAATGAGAAACGACCACTAAATACTCTACACCACTTCGTCTACTGTATTCTCTATTCACTGGCACTGGTAACAGGACACTAAAAAGTCCACACTATTTTTCATGCAAAGACGTACATCTTATGAAAGTGCGTGTATGCTCAGCCATGCAAACTTAATTCTCTTCCTGAAAATTTTATCATTTTTCAATTTTCGCCATAAGGACGAGAAACTATACTTCCTCTCCATATAAGGCTTAGTCTTTTCGGTACACATATAGTAGGGTTTACAAGATATATACCAAAAGACCTATCAATACCAAATTATTCAATTAATTCATTAATTTTTTCGCTAAATTGTTTTTACAGATCAATGTCTGCGTAAATTTTCGTCGCAAATTACTAGAAATTAAATCTTTTTCTCGAGGCCTGATTATTCATAAGAAATCTTATATGGGGCAGGGTCCCAACAATGCGCCTATGTGGTTCAAATTTAGTTCACTTAATTTTTATGTCAAATTATTATTATGAAAAAAATTTTCATTATAGACCATAAACAAACCGGCATTTTTGGCATATGAAAGTACACTTTTCCTGAGAATCCCTCTATGCGATCCTATCGAAAAAATATACCCAGGTGTTCTAAATTCGGTAAGTTTGATTTCTTTGTCAATTTATTATTATGAACCAATTTTCAGCATGAAATGTTAAAAGTTCATGTAAAGGTTCCGTTTTCGTGGGAACGCTTATATGAGAGGAGCATCAAAAAATTGCCACAGCCGATCCAAAGATTTCGCACCAATTTAAAATGCCGAAATACTATCACACAGCGAGTTATGTCGAAAAATTTTGAAAATTGAAACTTCTTGTAATATAATGATATTTTAAAACAAGACGATACCTGTGGAGTTGTCGGAGTCGTCGGGGATCGCTCTTGGATCAACAACATACGTTAACGCATCAAATTTCATCAAAATATTTTCGAAATTGTGATCGTTAGCTTGGAAACAAGAATAGATCAACAGGCAAAATAGTGGATTTGTCTTAAGCATTTTTGGGTGTTACGTACGTCTGCGCAAAATTAATATACCTTGTACCACAAGTGGTTACGATATAAACATTTGTGCGATATTTTGTAGGACCCCTCGAAATAAGGTGTGATGCAACGTGAAAGATGTATATAGAGTGTGACGAAAAAAGCCTTTAATGAGCTTCATGTCGGACTACTGAGGTCTTATGTTACCTTCCCACCTTATACTATTTGCGGTACAAGAGCATATTAATTTTATGCACATGTATGCAATACCCAGAATGACTTGAGATAGACACGTTGTCTACTACATGCATTTAAGCCCGCTTGTCCGTCCGTCTGTGTTCAATCAGCAGCCGAAATTTTTGCGATATTTTGATGAAATGTAGTAAACTGACTTATTTTTGGCCCAAGAGCGAACGCTACTGAAAATTTGTGCTGGTCAGACCACTTTTTCCTTTAAGTTTCCATATAAAACCCTATTTTGACAAGTCGGTATATAAATAATTGTAGGTTGGTGTAGGGCATTTGATGTTAAATCTGAAAATGCAATAACTTTTTTCTTAGATAAACCTAAGCATCCATAATAATTACAAGCTCTCGTGTACAATCAAAAGTTTTGTTGTCTCCCTTTTTTTGCAAAGAGAGGTGTTCCTCCTCTGGACTTCTTCTTCTTGTATAAGCAAAATTGACTTAAATGAAGAAAATTTAATAGGCTAGAAGCTTACCGCCAAGTATTCGGTGGTCAGCTGTAAAATGTTTTTCGCTTTCGACTGTTTAGTCGGATCGAAGGGTATCGAGTTATTTTGAATAAAAACAATTTTTTGCTTTTTTGTTTGTTTGTTTGTAAGATCTTTTTTGTAACTGCGAGTAAAGTCTCATGAGCAGTTCAAATGGTATGAATATATATTTCGACAATTACTGTCTACTTTAGGCGAAGAGGATTAAATTGCCGTAATTTAAAGTTTTCAAATGCGTAGATTGATTGATTGGGTTACAAATAATAATAAGAACAGAGTCTGAGTATAATCAATTTGCGGTTAATTTTTAAACACTTGCTGGCATTTTCGTGGTCCAAACGTGCTATAGAAAATGAATTTGAACAAATATTTAAATATATTATCTACTTGTGGGTGATTTGTTTTTATAAATATTATATTGCCTACGTTTTTAGTGTTATTATTATTATTGGTAATGAAATTAAACGTGCTGCCTGTATATAGTTGTAAAAAGCCGCAAAAACCATTTACAAACAATGTTTAAATGTTTAATTAAACTTAATATACTTTCTGTGAAAACAAATAAAATATTTTCATTTGGAACTTTGACTTTTAACGAAAACAAAGTGAAAAGAGCTGTGGGCAAAATTAAAATCTGTGGTCATTATCTATGCTTTGGCAACCTCTACAAAAGTTTTAAAAATATATATAAAATTAATTTTTCCATTTGGCTTTTCGTGTTCACACAAAAAATTTCCAAATCCCACAAAAAAAAAAAAAAAAAAAAAAAAAAAAAGGAGAAAAAAAAAAAAATAAAATAAAATCAAAGGAAAAAAGATTAAAAGCTCGTCTAGAAAAGCATACCTAAACCTTGATGCGTTCACAGGGCGTAGAGCGGCAAGAAGCAGAAGTAGTAGTAAGCGATTTATTGTAAAACATTCATAAGCCTTCGCTCACATACATATATATGCAAGTTTATATCAAGATTTGAACACGATTAAGTTTGCTAACAACATTAAAGTGTGATGGTGGTGGTGGTGGTGTAGCAATAGGCGCCTTCATAAAATGCATGTGCAATTACGCAATGTGCTCCCGCATATGAATGCAGGCCTGTTCGTGCATGTGTACCTAAATATCTGTGTATACATTTCA